CAGTTGTATGAAACAAACAACTAGCCACAACTGACTTTGCATTTTCCTCAGAGAAGATACACAACATCTACTGACACCAGTGGTTCAGTGTCTTAAAGCCAAATTAGCCAACTGAAAGGAAATCAACAAATATTTATCTGGAATCCATTACACTCAAAGCTCTCAAGCCAAGTGTTTTGCCATAATAATTAGGCAGGAACAACAGGACAACTACCTTCTGATCTTGTCTCCAAATCAAAGGGTGAAACTTTAGATGCTTGATAAAGATAAAATGTTTCTGCTAACTCTGACTGTGTGCATGAAAAGTGCTTGGTAATAACATCTTCCAAAGCTCCTGTTTGACTCGGGTCCTACAACTGGCCATATTCTACTCTTTAGGAACGAAAATAAAATCCAGTAAACATGTCGGCAGTGGCCTATTTCAGTTACTAGGGTGAACCATATAAATTAAGAAATCCAAATACCATCTTTGAATGGCTAGTTATTTCAGGACAGCAAAAGAGTTTAATGTTTCAGGCATAATGAACCTCAAAATTGCTTTTAAAAACTGTAACACTACAGAATACAGAGCCTCAGGCCATAAAAACAGAATTTCCAAGAAAGGTTTAGTATAAAAACAATCAGATTTTGCAGTAAGGTGCCCCTTACATTATATCTCTGAAATAATGTAGATCATGCTGCCCTCTTGTGCCAGATGTAGAAAATAAAACAAACTTCGTCCGCACAAGGGAAACAAAATCTGGGTTTTTAACAGAAATCATCTCTGAATTTCTAAATGACTTACTGTTGACTTGCGATTTGTGTTCCCCGAGTATGAAGATCTGATGCAAGTGAAAGTTGGCTTCAGAGACAGAAGACAAAGGTTGGCTAGGAAGATGTGGACATGACAAATAGTACAGGAACGAGACCCACATGCCCAAAAGGTACTATTCAAATCCAGCTGCAATCAAAAACATGCAAGAAATGTCTGCTCAGGCTCCTGAAAACTTGTAGCTCTTTAGTAAACACACACAGGAATTGGGACTTCCCTGGTGGTCAAGTGGTTAAGAATCCACCTTCCAAAGCAGGGGGGGGCCGTGGCTTCGATGCCTGATCTGGGAACTAAGATCCCATGATACAGCAAAAAAAAAAGTTTTTATAAATAGGTACACATTAAAAATAAACATAATCCATTCATTAAAAACACAACCTCAAAAAAAAACTTAATGAGGCTTCCCTGGTGGCGCAGAGGTTAAGAGTGCGCCTTGCAATGTAGGGGACACTGGTTTGATCCCTGGTCCAGGAAGATCCCACACGCCTCGGAGCTACCAAGCCGCTGGCTGAAACTCCTGAGCCCAGGCTTAATCATCTGTGTTCCACAACGTGAGAAGCCACTTCAAAAAGAAGCCTGTGCAACACAAGGAAGAGGAGTCCCCACACGGCGTAACTAGAGAAAGCCCACAAGCAGTGACAAAGACCCAGCACAGCCAGAAAATAACTAAATTAATAAAATCAATTTTTTAAAAAATTTAAGAACTAAATAAGTCAACACACAATACCATTACCAACAGGCATCCCAGGTGGTACCAAAAGACTCAGGAGAAGTGGGTTCGATCCATGGGTCAGGGGGATGCCCTGGAGAAGAGCATGGCAGCCCACTCCAGTATTCCTGCCTGGAGAATCCCATGGACAGAGGAGCCTGGCGGGTTACAGTTCATAGGGTTGCGCAGAGTCGGACAGGACTGAAGCGACTTAGCACTCACACACCATTACCAAAATACATCAAAGGAAGAAAGTGAAACAGAGAGATGGGTGAGATAACGGGAGATAAAAGGAAGAGAAAAGGGAAAAATGAAACCTAGTTTTGCCATTTTAAGGCCACACACAGACTATAAAACACCAGTAGGCAATGAAGCATCACATTATTTGAACAAAGTAAAGCACGTGCATCAAAACATAGGTTCAAAATAGACAGCAGCCACAGGAACCTGCTGGAATGTTAAACTGTAGGCAGAGAAACCATGCACTTTCGAGGCTGACGCTTTCTTCCTTCATAGAATGCAATAAACACAATGAAAGTAAGTGAACTTGCAACTTTGGTAGAGCAACTGGTGTTTTCAACAACTTCCCATGGAACCCTGGTTCTTAGCACAACCAGTGCAGAGTCCCCCAGTGTCTAACAAAATTCATCAAGATCTGGGATGAAGCATCAGAATGGAAACGGAACATTTCGAGTGGGCCCACCAATGAATGAATGTAAAAGGCATTGGACCATCCAGTTCAGGGTCATTAAGAACCTACTGGCACAAGTGGGCTTGGAGACAAGTAGAAACAAGGGAACTCTGGTGAGATGAGTGCAAATCCAGTCAGACTGGGGAAGGCGCAGACCTGATGGGCCTCTGTCTGAGTTTCCAACTTCACCATCCCAGGCCCAAAGTCCCTCCTTTCATCACTTTTCTAACTCTGGGAGGCTATATCAAGATCCTGAAATCACAGGAAATGTACTGACCCCCTAGGATATCCTGGAGAGAGACACACTTCATGATCCCTATGTGCTACATGGGAAACAGACTCTGGAAATCAAATCACCCACAATTTCATGCTGGGAACTTTGTTGAATTAAACCCAGATATTTAAGGTAACTTAGACGTTGAGGGCCTTCCTGGCAGTCCAGGGGTTGAAACTTTGTCTTCCAACACAGGGGTTGTGGGTTTGATCCCTGATCAGAGAGCCAAGATCCCACGTGCCAAGAAAAAAAATCAAAACATAAGCAAAAAGTTGGGCAAGCCGGTCTCTCTGCTGTAGAAGGGGATTCTTTTTTTTAATATTATAACTATTAGGGCACACATAATCAATAATCTCAACTATAAAGCAGAATTCTTACACATTACTTGTTTTTCCAAAGAAGAACAAGATAAAACAAGTATAAAAAGTACAAAAAATTTTTATTCAAACAAATTTAAAACTCATCACTTAAAAGTTTTCATTAAAAAAAAATTTTACTCTACTAACAAAAGAGTAAATTAAAAAATCTTGGCTCCTAAACCTTTTGGGCAAGGCAGGCCTGTCTTTGCAGTACTATTTGGGCCTCTATTTTCTTGAAGGAATCAGGTCCTGTTAATAGTCACAGGACAGGGAGACAAGACACACCACCTTAGTGTGCCGGCTGCAGTAAGATGAGTGACTTGGAAGATTTACGCTTGGGCCCGAACCCTTGAATAATTAATTAACCAGCATCTGGAGAAGCCTACAGGGGCTGTTGATGCTTCCAACGTTATGACTGTAATTTTCACATTAACTGAAAAGTGGAGCAACACCACAACCATAACAGCATGGACTCCTCCAATTACTCTGTCTCCACAGCTTTATAATAAGCCGAGATCTGTGTGGGGCTCTGCAGCTCACCATCCTGAGCTCCACCCAGTGCCTGGATGAAACATGTGCTGGACAAATCTACACAAGATGCTGCACGGAACAGCCTCATTTAATCCGCACAACAGTGACACAGGAAGGGCAGCAGTTATTCCCATTTCACAGGAAACAAAGTGCCCACATAGCATGTGGTCATTGACTAAGAATCATAAGGCCCTGACTTCGATCTAAACGCTGTGAATGTACTCACCTGCTTAATTCTAACAGTATCAACCTTGTGGCACGTGTTAGAACACCAACCCCATTTTCCAGATAAAACTGAGATGAACAGTAACCAACATATAAGTACTAATTAAAATTTGACCATTAGTAACTAGCACCAGGATAGAACCCAGGCAGTTGGCTCCAGAGACCACACTTGAAAACCATGACAGACAATATCCTGCCTTGAGATATGCCTTCTCAATAGATCTACCTTGCCTTGGCCTTGGTCACAAGGCTAGTTGATGGCCAGGCCAAGGCTACTTCTGTCCTCTCTGCAGCCTCCCTCAACAGGTCCTGTCAATCATTACCTGCAAAAACAAAGTCACCTCAGGCCTCAGCACAAGTCTAGTCAACTAGACAGAGTGGACACATCCATTGATGAACTACCTATTCATGGAAACATAGCTCAGGAGGCTACATTCTGAAGTAAGACAGGTCTAAGGCCTCAAGGTGGAGTAAGCAAACACTGGGAAACCTCCCAGGACACTCATACTGAGAAACTTACCACTGAGCATCCACCTGCTACGTACGTAGCACAAAGCTTCTTACATGTTACCAAAACTCCACTATAAGCTATACAGTTATTTTAATTGAAGAGGATATCTACATTAAATTAATCTTGGATGTTAATTATTCATTACCATTTTAGGTAAATCTCATACTCACGGCACAAGCCAAAACTCTATGATCCTAGATATGCATGGGCAATGAAAGAAATAACCACATAGCTTGTCTTGAGTAGAGATTCAGTATAACAAGGTTTGAGTAGAGACCTACCTAAAGTATGTAACACAGCCTATGTTCTAGCAACAAGCACAAAATATGTAAATATATTTGCACTAAATGTGCAGAGTTTCATTTGCCACACAAATCAGCTCTTAAATCATTCTGCAAAGTGAGCATACATTTATATTTCCACACTCATATAAAATTGGAATGAAAGTTTATATGCCCTTATATTCAGATATACCCTGGTGGAAGGAAAATATCAGTAAAGTTTTTTGTAGAAAAGAAAGATTTTCTTCCAAGCAATTCAAGTATCAAAAGGAATCAGGCATTGGCAGGGAATGGATACATGTATATGTGTGGCTGAATTCCTTCACTGTTCACCTGAAATTATCACAACACTGTTAATTGGCTATACCCCAAGACAAAATGTTTTTGGTGTTAAAAAAAAATAAAATTAAAAAAAGTAATCAGGCAATAAGTACGATAACAAGACTTCACTATGCACCTGAAATTATCACAACATTGTTAACTGACTATATCCCAATACAAAATGTTTTTGGTATTAAAAAGAATTAAAACTTTAAAAAAGAGGAATCGGGTATCAATTAAGTACGATATTAAGACACATTCACTGAAAAATGTGGTGTCTGACCTACCTATTGGATTTCTATCGAAGAACAATACTGGAGCTCTCAAAATGGACTCGAACATCTGGTTGTGCAAAGTTTGTGAAGAACTAACAAGGACGAAGAACACCAAGAGCGATCTGGCGACGCCAAATAGGACAGTAGATGCAGTTAACCCTGAAACAAAGAAACATCATTAAGCCCAAGATCTCTGCCTTTGATTCAAGAATGCTAAGCCATGCCAAGCAGCTTATAAAGATATTATATCCTTACCCCATCAAGAATCTGGATTCTAGCAGAATTTAACTCATTCATGACATACATTTTAAAAAGAAGAAAACAAAAAACACTGTTTTCCTCTCATTAAATATAAACTTCATGAGGGGGAAAGAAATGAAGTGTAAAATACAATTTCATTCCAGTATTTCCTAATTCAATTATAAGTTTCAATAAAACTCAGAAGAATTTTTAAGAGTTGTTGGTCTTCTCTTCTTCACATTTCAATTCTTAACAATTATAACGTCTCATAATCTAAAATGGTGAAAGGCTTTGGTATCGGCATGTTAATGAATAGGAAACACAAGAAATGATTTACTATCATGTCCTCATAGACAAACCTAAGTAGCTTTAAAGAGTATAAAAATACCACACAAATTTATAAGCAAAAAATCTAACTGAACTGTAGGAAAATACGAACTATAAATATAAATGAACATCAGCATTTAAATTACATTTTGTTAATGATAGAAATGAGTACTGCTATGCATATAAAAATTAGAATACCCTCCCAACATCTTTTGAACTCACAATGCTAAACAGAGGGGGGATAACTTCTGTAATAAATATTCCATTAAGTACTTTATTCCCTTCTGAGGAGACACTTAAATTCTGAAATTTAAATTTCAGTATTTAAATTCTGAAAGCTATTCAAATTCCTGGGTTCCATCAACAGGCATTTGCCTTAGCCCATCATCCTATATGAATATATAACATAAACCCCTCCTTCCTCCTTTAAGTCCCCATACTCCACCAATTCAAAAGGTAAATAGCTAATGGATTTAGAGTTCTTAGCAAGAGATCAACAAAATACATAGAAAATTTCAATGAGTCAGTTCTTACAAAGATAACTCACTCTATCTTTACAGAAAGCTTGTATATTTCCTGTGTGAATATTTAAAATTTTAGATGAGGATTTCCTTTTAAAAGGATGCAATGCCACGTATATTCCAGGCACTGGTATGAAAACAAAGAGCTGTGTTGATATTAGTAGGCAAGCCAGATGTTAAATTAATCACACAGTTATGGACATAATAACACTGTGATCTCAGGAAAGAAGGAAAAGGAACCCTAATGCCCAGACACTGGATTTCTCCCTGCTTAGTTTCTGCCTTAGGTAATTACTAAAGCCCAAGAGATGAGCAGTGTGGTGAAGGAGAGTTTGCATACCTGCGAGGCAGTACTGCTTTTATTTCGGACCCTGGCTGCCAGAGAATTTCAACCGAGGTCAATAAAAGCCAAGTTTCATTCAGAAAGAATTGGAACAATCTGAACCATAAGGTGGGGATCCGTTTCTAATCCCCTCACACATCCATAAAATGATATAAGATTTAGCTAAAGCAACTTATTAGAATAGACAATAGTCACATATTTCCAGTGGCTGATTTTCTCAATATGCAATCCTGGTTTAACTTCCAAAATCCAGTACAGAGCCAATTAAGAGTCTTCATTCAACCTCTTTTCTTCTGGCAGATTTTTAAAATAATTATTCTAATTAATTCACAAAATAAATGCAACTGGCTCAGAAACTTAATCTGTTAAGACATTACTGAATTACTCCTGGAAGCCCTAGTTGCTCACATGGGCTCATTGTAAGCGACTCAGACTCTCGGATAATAGACCAGATGACTCAACTTTACCTGAGTAAATTCCTAAGTACCAGTTCAGATCGAGCTTCTCGGTTACATTTCCTTGTCCATTAACAGTGACGTTCAGGGCACTCTGTTGATTGGCCCTAGGGAACAGGGAGGGAAAAAAGATTCAAGGATAGACACAATTAGGTAAATACAAAAAAAAAAAAAAAAAATCCTTGATTTAGGAGACATGATTTATGCTGCAAAGTGTTTCCTAGCTCACAGGGCCCCGCGTTTCTCTACCTTAAAAACCAATCTACAGTTGTATTAAATTCTGAATCTGAATCTTTTCTATATGGAATAATAGAATATCAGTACTAGATCTAAAAAAAAAAAAAAAAAAAAATCCTTGATTTAGGAGACATGATTTATGCTGCAAAGTGTTTCCTAGCTCACAGGGCCCCGCGTTTCTCTACCTTAAAAAGATTTCCCTTTGAATCACGACTTTCAGCTCTCTCAACTGTCTGTGAGGAAGCTGCTAAGGACCATGGGAGGGTCACATGCCACCAGCAGGATTTACATTTTCTTCAGGGAAACTACATGAGGGTCAGAAGAGGAGGCTGAACAAGCCCCCTCTCCCCCTGACTCTGTGGGAAAGTGAGGTTCGTGTAGCCTTCACAGCCCTTTGGGTCAGAGCAGGAATCACTCACCAGTATGAAAGCCACCAGTCCTGCAGGACGTAGGAGACCTGGAGCAGGAAACACAGTCACTCAGACGCTGCCGTCACTGAGCCCCACCCCGCCCACCCACCCACCGCTCCCAGGATGGGGGACGGGAAGGCTCCAGGACACGGAGACGGTCCTTCCCGCTCAGGTCTGCGCCAAGCCCCACACCCCGATGACCACAGGTCAGGGGAGGGCATGCTACATTTTAATATCTCTAAAAGACATTGTGTATTTCTAGAATCTGTCACGTACACACAACACTAGCAAGCTTCACTTATTTTGCTATGCACATATAACACTTTTCAATGTAAATCCAAGTGGACTGTAAAACACAGTGTTTATATAAATGTCAGGATTCTGCAAAGGATAAAAGCTTGATAGGTACTGTGACGGCCAGTTTTCTGTGTCAGTTTGGCCATACCAGTCTCCACTGGTTCAACAAAACACTAGTTCAGATGTTACTGTGAAGGTATTTTCTGGGTGTGGTTCATAGCCATCATCAGAACTTACAGGAGAGCACCCCTCAACACTGAGGCGGCCTTGTCCAGTCAGACGAAGATCTTAAGAGCAAAATCTGAGGCTTCTTGAAGGAGGAAGAAATTCTGCCTCAAGACAGCAGGGTCAGCTCCTGCCTGAGGTTCCAGCCTGTAGGCCTGCCTTTCTGATTTCAGATTCACTCAGACAGATCCCACAACCTCATGAGCCAATTATTTGAAATAAATCTCTTAATTCACATATTAAAAAAAATAATACAGTAAGGTAAACAAGGTATAAATAGTATTAAAACTATCAACCTTAGGGCACAAATCAAAATAAAAATTGTTTCTTTGCAGCTTATTTCTGTTTAATCAAATAAACAGCAGGGTTTTTTTCCATGGAAAAAAATAAAAATAAAAATCCTTCCTTACCTGAGCTGCAAGGTTTACTAGAATGAGGAAAATGATGATAAACCAGTGAGCACCGGCTGTAAAGTAATTCTTATAAGCCTTAAAACCAACTTTTCCTTCCGAACGGGTCTCCTCAGTTAGGGTAACCTGTACATTCTCGGTCTTGAAAGGAAAAAAGAGATGAAAATTTGAATAATGAACCCTAAATCAATAATAACCTCCACTGCAAAGCTGTGGTGAAATAGACAACTCATATGCTGGTAGGAGGGCAAGATCCTACAGAGAGAGGAGTGTGGAAAACACTGAGCCAAACCATGCATGCATTTACCCAGCCATGCCAATTCTAGAAATCTATCAGAAATAAGGAAATGTCATCTGCAAAATGTTACTCATTTTCAGGTGCCTTTGCTTAAATAAACAGCATGATTAACAGCGCACGTACAAAATATCTGATTAAAGCATAAATGCAGATGCTTTCTCCAAAATAATACACGAAATGATATATAACCAAAGTATCCATGTAATTTATTTGTGCCCCTCAATGACAACAGAGTGGTTCCCGAGTGTGGAAGGCGAGGACTGAATTCTCGCCAGAATCATCCAGAATCCCGGGTATGGACACTGAGAGTCTGGATGCTGAGAAAACTGCTAGATGATCTTAAAGGAGACTTGTGCATTTGTCTACTTCTGTCTGTAGAATTTAGAATATATTATACAGTCACATGGGCCAAGGGTTTCCAGGGCTCTATGCTGCCTACTGTATATGCGAGATGACAACATATGGTTCTACATCTTGAACAGTAAGGAAGATGGGAACAAATTCCAAAGTGTCTGCTGTGTGTCGCGTGCTTTGCACCTTTGTGACAGAGGTGTCCTGGCACAGACCATCTGATGAAGAAGCAAAACAAGACCGTTCATCACCTGCAATGTCAGAATATTCCAACATAAAGCAAAAGCAGCTGATTTAATGGAAGTCATAGCAGGCTAGGAATGAGGGATGCTTCAAGTTAACCATCTGGATGAATAAGGGAAGCCGGGGTCCACCAGAGCACATATAATTAACTATGGTAACATCAAGAGTTCCACTGTCAATACCACATATGTCATGCATGTGTGTCATAGCAGTGCAACCAGGACTTGTCTCCATCCTACACCAAGAGGAGAAGCCGAATCAGGCTGGCTCCCTGCATGCTGTTTTAATTCTACCAATGCCACGGAACAAGGTCGTGTAAATTTGCTGTCCTCTTTGGAACAAAGAGATGTCATAAACAGAGCAGACTGAAGGTCCATGAGGCCACCAAGAGCGACAGACCCGGGCGTGCTGCAGGATGAGAAACTCACTTCTTGGCCCTCCGGAGTGGCCTCTTTCAAGGAGGGTCTGGAAGACTGCTGAGACCAAACTGAAGACTCGGAAAAGGTGCGATTCCTCAGGGTGGGAGTTCCTGGAACCGGAGATGGTTCAGCCTCCTCATTCTCCTTCTTTAAAAGGGAACCAAAATCTATCCCGGATTTCAGGAACTCAGTGTAAGTCCCCTTTTGCACCATTTTGCCCTAAAACAGCAGTAAAGAATTTGAGAGATTGTAGTTAAGGTGTCTAATCATTTATGATATCTATCTTCTTTGTGAATTGTACCTTCTATCACTAAAAATATGCATCGTTTCATTTCAAACAAATAATTTAAAAAAATTTGACAGGAATGGGTTTTCATTTGATAATACTAACCAACTGTGCGTACATGCATGTTATGCATGCTAAAGCACTTTAATCGTGTCCGACTCTTTGCTACCCTATGGACTGAATAGCCCACCAGGCTCCTCCATCCATGGGATTCTCCAGGCAAGAATACTGGAGTGGGTTGCCGTTTCCTCCTCCAGGGGATCTTTCCCCCTAAGAATCAAACCTGCGTCTCTTGTCTCCTGCATTGGCAGGCAGGCTCTGTACAACTAGCGCCACCTAGGAAACTAATGGTAAATACTAATCAAGAGAAGTAAACTGATACTAAATTATGAAAATGATCCAGAGGTCTGAATTTCTGGTGGACAAATCTAGTTCAGTTCAACTAGAACAGAAGTGAGCACTGTGCTCTCTGCCAAACCCTGTGTAAGGTTTGGGGACGTGAACGAAATGTGTGCTCATGTGCTAAAGATAGAGTCCATTGGGCACTTAGGAAAGCAAGAAATACAGAGTTTGGTAGGACGATCAGCACAGTCTCTTAAGACAACATGGAAAGAAGCCTCATGAGACAAGCAGAAATTTTTAAGAAGTCCACTGGGGAGGATATTCCAGGAAAGAAATCTGTTGACATAGAGGTGGGCACTAGCATACCTGTGTAGGTATGGGTCACTAGACAAGTCTTTGCTGACCACTGCCACATTACCACATGTCTGACTAGGACAGGGCATGAAGAAACTGACCCTGCACAGAGAACTCAAAAACTGTGTCTTCACGGTCTTTTAACACCACCCCATAAACTCAGGAAGTTCGACTGAAAATTCAGTATTCCCCCGGAAAAATTACCTAAGCAAGGAGGTCATAAGACTGGGATGCTCTAATGCCTTGGTATGCCACAATAAAGCCAGAACCAAAGCACTTAAATCCGAGGATTACATAGGCACAACCCATCACAAGCGGCCCATCTTCCCCAAATTAGGAAACTGCTTAAGCTACAGCCCGTCCACTCTTCTTTGAACACTGTGGGACACATCACTGCAGTGTCCCTCATTTACAAAGTCACATAAAATAAGCTGCAGAAGATTTCTATTCTTTCACCATGTGAAACAAGACTCAGCTGATTCACTCAGTGGTGAAAAAAATATTAGGAAAAATCCGAGGATGCAAAATGAAACAAAGGAGGGTTAAATGAAACAAAGGTTAAGGCAAGTCAGGTGGCCCAGCATCCTGGCAAGGCCCCCCTCTCCAGGAGAAACCCAGTGAAACCTTCGGGTACCATTTGATACTGCAGAACAAGGAAATTATTCAGGATATACTGTATCTTGTCCTTGTCTGGGAGACAAAGTGCATCTACCTCATTTAAGGAAAGTTGCAAACAACTTTCTACTTAGTAAGATGCATACAGAAGCCACTAGAGGCACAAAGACAGCAATTTTACTCAACAACCAAATATTAACAATTCCGGGGGGCAGCCATCCCCTCTCTGCTGTGAGGGAGGAATCAGAACTGTAAGGACAGTCCCCAACTCGTCAGGTGTGCTCACCAGTAGACAACCGATCGTTCTGACAGTATTGAGTTGGCCAAAAAGTTCACTTGGTGATGAATATATTCTTCAATAAAGTTCTTGGTGACAATGAAAAATAAGTCTTCTATTGTTGCTTAAAATTGATCAAACTTTTTGGCCAACTCAATACTAAAACTGAGGTTGTATTCTCAAAACAAGTCCCATGTAGGCAGGGCCTTATTCTCCTTCTGCACAGGCTCCCACACATATCAGACACAGAAAGAGATCTGGGGAGTTAAAAAGAAGAAGGCAAAAAACTGAAGGCTAAGAGGGCTTTGCCACAAATCCAAGCAGACTGACCTGCAGGGCAGCCTGGCCTTCAACACACCGCAGTGTTAGCAATTCCAGAGACTTCTAGAAATTACTTACATCTTTTAATATCAGAATCTGACTTGCAGCTTTTAGGTACTGCAACTGATGAGTCACTAAGATTCTGATCTTCTCATGCAAGGCTTGACAAATACACCTACAAATGGGAAAGGGACAGTATGCAAAAACACATTAGAAGTCAGCCAAACTGCAAGCGTACATTTTTTTATTTTTTTTTTCAAGCGTACATTTTGAAAACATAATGAGACAAAGATAAGACAGCCAAGTTCTGTAGTTCAAATACCAATATGAATAAAAATACAAATTAGAAATACAAATTGAAAAATCCAACTAGGACTTCAAATTATTCAGAAACAAGTCTGAATCAAGCGCCACTAAAAAAAAATTCTAAAAACCAGTCTAGTGAAACATATATCAGCTGTTGTTTTTCCTAAAACTGATCTTAACAATTATTTACATATTTCATAATGAAAAACAATGGAGCAATACTGACATTTCAAAAGTTGACTAAATTAAAATACCAATTATTTTATTGTTATGTTGAGAATGCGAGAACAGTGATTGATGTCACATAAATATACATACATTTTCCTTAGTTTCTTAGATGTTGCTTTATGATGTACACATTAACCACCCTAAAAAAGTTATACATTCTCAGTAACCTTAGCCTACTCCCTCCCATAGACATTTCTTCCTACGCAACATTAGACGGAAAGCGGGGCCTTTTTAGAAAGTGCAAGTGGGGACTTTTTAGTCTCTGCCACATTCCCAGTCCTGTCCAGAAAGTAAATCTTACTTCATTTGCACTGAAAACTCCCTCAATGTGAAAATGAAAAATTACAGGGCCCCGGTGGCCACGGGCAAGATTTCAGGCAGGTACTCTGGGAGCCCGAGGCCCTCGCAGAGCAAATCTCAGGAGCCTGGGCCAGAGCTCAGCCTGTGGGTGCGTCAGATGGAGAGTCTGGAGGCAGCAGGCTGCAGCTCAGTCCCTCTCAAGAGCCTGATGACATCAGACAAGCAACTAAACCTCAGTTTCTTCATCTCAGAACGTCAATGACAACTCATATCCATGTGTTCTGAAAAATCAAACCACCAATCTACTCAACAAATGTCAGCTTTATTTTCCACTCCTCCCTAACCACGAGCGGTCATGTGCTTTGGACTCCGGACAGAAACGTCCTAAGGGGACACTCCGGACAGTGGCTCCGGAATCAGAAGACCGGGGATATAGACACACACACCATCACTTCATTAAAAGTTCAGAAAGACTCATTTTTACCTTCTGACAAGTCTTAGCTCAGCTTTTGTACTAAATATCTTGACCAAGCATATACCCTTTCAGTTTTCAATGCACTTTTCTGCTAAATTTAAAAATTACCTGCTATTAATCATTGAAGGCAGATGGGCTGGTAGGTCCACGATGGCACTAACCGAAAGTTTTAAAAGGTTTCCTTCCTGACATTTCATCACAGATGAGGTAAAACAAATAAGTACAATAAAGTGATCAGTTTTGATGGCTAAGAATGTATTCCCAACAAGACTTTTATTCTGAATCTCTAGAGAAATAATCTTCCAAGTTTTTGAGAGTAAAGATTTCTAAGAAATACCATAAAAATTGATTCAGCAATGAATTCTTTAAAATTATTCCTATATGAGGGCTGTGTTAAGAAGAGACAAATCCCATAGCAGAGTAGATCAAATATGAACAAAAAGAGTCCCTATCTTCATTCATTCAATCAACAGACTTTGGTGAGGTACCAGGCACTGTCCCAAATGCCTCTTGCCACAGGTCAAGACAGCAAATAATTCTCTGCACTGCATACAGGGGGACACTGAATGAGTATGAGTACTATGGGGCTGTGATGTGTGCTCTGAAAGCAAGAGGGGCTTGCTGTCTTGGATGGGAAAACAAGGGAGCCCTGAGACTATCTGGGGAAACATCCCGGAAGAACACACAGCAGGTGCTGGGATCCTGGGACTGAACACGCTGGGCTGAGGTGCCTTCGTGCATTCACAGCACATGGCGCGGGGGGGGCTCATAAATGGTTAAGTGCACCCACTGAGGGCTGTGGGAAGACAGCACGGACGCCCCCTAGAGGAACATGAGGGAATGGCAGGGCCCATCATCCACCTTGTGTCCTGGGGCACTGCTCCTTGGCTCTGAGACAGAGGGACCAGTGTGAACAGACGACAGAGTGAGAAAGGACCCGCACAGGGCCAGCACAGCTGGACACCGAGTGGGTGTGGGGAAGAGCTGGAAAGGCTGAGGGGGGCAGAGAGCAAAGAAGCCTGTTCTCTGAGGGCCTGCAGCTGCTTCCTGAACAGGCTGGGGTGGGGGTGGGGTTGTCTGTGAAGGGCTGGAGCAGGAGGGCGAGCCGGGTAGACAGCAGCACAAGAATCCGATCAGGACAGACCTGACGACACAGGAGACAGGGGTCTGGCGATGTGGCGTTGAAACACATCCGGATCCACAGCAGGACACAGCTAGGACTGCATCAGTTCATCTAAGGCCCCTCACCTTCTGTAACTGATAGAACCCACTATGCTCACAGCATGAAGTTGTAAAACTCATGAACCTTAATCACCTTGGATATAGATTCAAGACTAGAGGAAACTGTTAATGGCAAGGAGAAGTATGATTCACTCGCGTTTAATAGAAAACGCTCCCCATTACTAAGCTCTGACACGACCACCATCTCTCATAGCATATTGTTCCATCCAATTTTCTAACTCGTTGAGAACATCCTCAGTTGCTGCTCAGTGATTTCCTAAATTGCATTCGTGCTCCCTGCCCTAAGTTTCCCCAGAGAATGTGGTTCTGATTAGCAAACAACAATCCAAACAAGCTTGGTTCTATCAAGTGTACATCCAAGGTCATTAAACCCAAGAGCTATTAAAAAACTGCTCCGTTTGAAGGAGAACTTTTGAGAACTTCTGTGACAAGTACAAGAGGAATGGACAGTTTGAACTGCCAATGATTTCAGGAGTGGGAAAGGGGAAACGAAGCTTACAGCACTCACAACCTGTTGCCAAACCCATGACAAGGCACTTCTCTACGGGAAAATTCATCAGGTCACAATCAGGAGACGGTGGGAAAGCCAGATGAGACCACACAGCTGGAAGCAATGCCACATGCCCTGCTCTCCGGTTGTGAACAATTTAATGCTTCTTTGCACTTTTTATCATGGTGGTGGTGGTTTAGTCACTACGTCGTGTCTGACTCTTGCGACCCCACGGACTGTAGCCTGCCAGGCTGCTCTGTCCAAGGGATTCTCCAGGCAAGAATACTGGAGAATACTGGTTGCTGTTTCCTTCTCCAAGCGATCTTCCCAAGCCAGGGATTGAACCCGGGCCTCCTGCATTGCAGGCAGACTCTCTACCTACTGAACTATAAGGGAAGTCCCTTTTTATTGTGGTAAATAAAACATATCAGTGCATAACATGAAATTTACCACTTTGCCTATGTTTAAGCACATAGCTCAGTGGTATTGAGCCCAATCACGCTGCTGTGTAACCATCACCACCTTCCGTCTCCAGAGTGCTTTCATCACCCCAACACTAAGCACAAGCTACACACAGACTTTGGTGGAACCCGCCCCATGATCCTGCTTAGTGGGTGAGGAATCCCAGGTCCTCGAATCCAGAGCTTGGAGCTCCTCACACGTCTCTCTGTCTCACATCTGCAGACTCTGCTGAAGCCTCTCTACTTTGCAGTTGTGGCTCTGTGTAAATCAATCATTTCCCCTCCAATTCAAATGCGGACACCTGAGAATTTGGTGATAAGGCCTTTGAAGACATAATTGTTCCCTTTAAGGACACTAGGTCTAACCCAATCTGACTTGTATCTCCAGAAGAAAAGGAGCCTCACACAGAGGGGCAGGGCCCATGAACAGAGGAAAGACCACGTGAGGACACAGGAAGGTGGATGCTATCGGAGGCCAAGGAGACAGGTTCCTTAGAGGCAGGAATGAGAGCTGACCATCCAAATCTCCTTTGTCTGCCCAGTGTGGCTCCTTTCCCTCTCCTGGCTCACTGTCCTCCTTGTAAACTAAGAGGTTTTGTGCAGTAACATCTGTAAGGGGATTTAACTCAGTGCATACAGCAGGGTATTAGTAAGTACAGCTGGAAGGCTCACTGGCTTTAACAAGGTCAACAGCAGCAAGGGAACTAACTGACCGAGGGGGAGATGCAGAGACTGTTTCAAAAAAGCGAGTGCATGAGGCTTTCAAAGAGGTCAGTCTAAACTCCACCAGAGGCCTCGGTTAGCATGACTTGGACACATTATACACAGAAAAACATCAGAGTTGTTCTACTTCAGAGGTTCAGTGGCCGAAGAAGAGCAGCAAATTCAACAACAAACAAAAACAACAAACTCCAGAAACACAACATAGGAGTCAGGAGTTCAGCCACATTCTAGATACCTGGTCTCACAATCAAGTTAAACATACATTGTGAATCTAAGTATCAACACTAGTAAGAATCCATGAAGCAATGTGCAATGACTGAAGACATTCTGAGGTGCAACAAATCATTCTCAGGTTTTATACCTTATTCAGAATTTCTGAACCTACAGAATAATAAGCATCAACAACAAGGTCTTTCCACAGAAGCCCTATGTCAGTACTGAAAACATCACTTCTAACGTGTCTTTAAAAAAAAGATGAAGGAAAAGGACAGCCAAGTACTAGATTACTAGTACCCCTCTCTGATTTAAAAACCGTACATTTTCCTTCTCATTTCTGGGGTCCGGATCCACCCACAGTGTCCAGTTATCAACTGCAAGTAGCAGGAGGAAATCAGCCATCTATTCCTCACTCCCCAAGGACAGACTCCACCATCCTCCACACCCTAGAAGCACCTTCTGTATTTTCCTATCTTGACCTCATCATGATCAAAATTCCTCTATGATGGATCTTCTGCGGAATGAAGGGAAGGGAGAAAGGGACACCAGAGCAGAGCCAGCCGAGTCTCTTGAAGCACAAAGGCTTTCCTGAGCTCTTTCCACTGATCTTTAATCGGTTCTAAGAAAGCAGAAGTAATAGGAAACAAACTCACAGTTCGAACAAGTGCCTGCTGACTTCTGCGTCCACCGCGCTGAGCGGATCATCCAGGAGATAGATGTCTGCGTCCTGATACACGGCTCTAGAAAACGTAGAGAGACGTCAGGAGAAAAACACTTCACACTCCCTGGGTCTCATCTCTGAATCACAATGGTGTCCAACAACTCCATGTTCATTCCAGGAGCCCAGGCAAGGGACCACAGCCCTGCTTCACACAGGCCCACCCAGTGAGTGGGGTCTGCGTGCTCACGTCCACTAGGAGTCGCGGAGGAGGAGGGGCAGGATGGCAACTGAAACCCCATTTACCTGGCTAGGTTGACCCGGGCTTTCTGCCCTCCACTCAGTGTGGTTCCCCGGTCTCCTATCATAGTTAGATCTCCATCCTCCAGAAGCTGCAAATCCTACATGGAAACAGAAAAGGGAAAAAAGAAAAAGATTTAAAATGTGTTCTCCTCCTGCCATGCTAACTTTTAGCCTTAGTTCTACATGTATTTTATGAATAGCAATGAGTATATTTCATAATGACTGGATTGTAATCTTGAATATTAAAAAAAAACCTGATTTGTTTTCATTCCATAGGTTTTCACTGCATTTATGAATTTGATCGTGATAACAAGGAGGTATTTACTGAGGACCGATTATACTGCAGGCATTGCTCTCGGCACAGTGAATCCAGCAACAAGGAAACAAAGTCCCTAGAGTCTCCTTTCCTGGTAGGAGACAGACGATATGGAAAATTAACCTGTGTGCAAGGACTGAGGATGAGAAGGAAAAGGAGGCCAGCTCAGGGCAACAGAGAGTAAAGGAGAGAAGCGAGTCTACGCTGGGGTCAGGAGGGCATGGCTCACAGAGTGGGTGTGAGCAGATCAGTGGGAGGTGGGGAGAGGTGCTTACATAGACAGCCTATAACTCAAGGGATGCTGCCATAGCAAGCAGAGTTCACAGAGTTTGTTATCCACTAAACCCCTCAGGCATCATCCTAAGATGCACACCAGTACTTTTCTGCAAATGAAGCCGGAGCTTCTCTGTACTTTAGCAAATTTGGGAAGAACAGAAATGGCACAGTGAAGCTCCCAGGATAAGCAGCTTTCTGACCTTCTAAGTCTCATCTTCTTCTTCAAAATGTGCTGCAGAAACAAGAGTCACTAAACTCAAGGATGCTGTGAGAACCTAAAGTGTATGAACACCCTCCATAAATGGAAAAAGGACATGGATTGATTATAACTTGCTACTGTTGAATGAGGCTTACTTTCCCATCAAACCAACACTGGGACCCCATTCGCTGTGTGGCTCACATGACCACAAGGAGAAGGAGGAGACTGTCTCCACCATCACCCTGATAGCCACAGGCACACACAGGTTCTCTGCTCACTTGAAGCTTAACAGGGTGCATCCAGTGAAAGGCAGCAATTGCTCTGTTGTGAAAATTCATCACTATTTCACTTTAATTCTTCCTTTTGAGCTACAATAAGGCAGTTTAAGATACATTCCCAACCCTGAACACGAACACACGAGAACACACACACACACACACACACACACACACACACACACACACACACACACACACACACAGAGTCACTGGTGACAGCCTCCGTTTTTAACGCCTAGATTATATGCTGCTTTGGTTTCCTTCACAAAACAGCACCACGCTGTAGCATGGCAATCTCAACCATGCTCTAGAAAAGGCACTTAAATCCACTCTTCCATTTAGCACAGCTAGGCCCCAAGAAACAGGCTCTCTTTGAGGCCAGCAGCAGGACTGCGAGTATGTTGTTGACTCTGCAAACTATTTATGGGCCAGTTACAAATGGGAAAAAGCATTTCACAGGACTTGAAGTAAAATCCAAGTCAGCCTAATTTCCCAGCCACCATTTTCTGATTAGGTAAAAGGGGGAAACGTCTGAGTTCAGCATATAATACAATGCCTCCCACAGACAAGAAGTTTTTATTATTTATTTATTTTTTAACACCAATTCCCAATGAAGAGCAGACACACAAACTACAGGGCAACTAGGAAATGGCTAGCTGGTTTGATGCCATCAGCCAGGAGCACATGCAGGGCCCTTCAGGGATGCTGGCTTCTTAGTGTAGAAAACAGCACGGAGCAGACTGTTGAGTTTCTATCAGAGGAAGGCTGGATTCCAGAGTCAAAGCAGGAGGACCCTGACTTTCATCACACCTGTAACTCCATTTCGCTGATGGCAGAGCCCTACGATTTCCATTTTAAAGATGATGAAACTTTAGATTTCTTTTAGATTTTTTAAAGATGATGAAACTAAAGATTTCTGAACCTTGTGAGGTTCAGAAAAGAAGCCAAAATCAACATGGTTTTTTTCCCTCCTGAACAGAGAAACAAACTCGATCCCCGCGCCTTATGACTCCCAAGTCTTGTCGTTTAAGCTCGACCCCTCCAGTTGACCAAACATTATTAGCTTGTTCCCTGAATTGTGTTGTGTAACTTACTATACTGTCACTTTGAATATGGCATCAGCTTAATTCCATGTTGCCAAATGTGATTACTTCATGTTTTATTACAGAAATGTTTTCAGCTCAATGAACTTAAAACGCTTGCTTCAATTAAATCTAGTTATCATGTGTCTAGTTCTTATTAATGCATGTGATACACAAAATGCTTTTTCCTGTTTTATCTTCCAGGTGTGGAGGAGGGGTCACCTATTAGAAATATTTTTGTTTGTCTGTATGTATATATTTAGTTTGTATGCATTTATTTACTGAAAAACTAGCAGGTTTCCATTTTACTAAAGTTATGATGCTTACTGCAATAAACCCCTACACTTCCCTTACTTTACAAGAAAGGAAACAGACGCCTCAAATTACAGTCCAAGATGATGCTCTTCAGAGAACACACTTTTTCTTTTCCTACTACACATGTAGACTGTCTCTACGAGTAAAAACACCCCCAGGGCACCTCTATTGTCTGCGACTGTCTTATGTCCATTCACTGAAACATGGATTCCAAAAGGAGATAAGCAGAGGCTGCAAAAACGCATGAAGTGGTTCCTAGGTGTCGTGCAGACCTGGCTGACCCCTTGGTAATCAGTCATAACTGACATTTCAGAGCAGCAGCAAAACCTCTTGGAAACACTCTGACCCGATGTCCTCGTTTTGCTGCAGAAACGTGAGATGCCCAGACAGGTAACAGAACGTGTCCAAAGTGACAGCAGTCAAGTGAGAAAATCAGGGGAGGAACTTGGCTCCCTTCCTGCCAAGGAGGGAATGGGCATGAGGGGCCCTGCCTCTATGCTCTGACCACGCAGGTAACAGGAGGGCAGCTGATGTTTATAAACGTCACATGACACACTTGTCACTGGGCAGCCCAGTCCTGCAGGGCTCCTTCCCAGAGTCTGTTACACATGCAGCCCCGAGGGTGTGTGAAGCCCCAGGACACTCCCCCACATTACGGGTCCGATCACCCCAAGAGGCTGCAGCAAAGCATTGACCATCCTGGATCTGAACCTGAACTACAGACGTAGAGATGGGGTGTTTCACCTCTCCAAGCTTCAGTTTTATCAACAACATAGAAAACACTGGTAAAACATTAATAACTTTTTATGTGTGCTTGCATGGGAATGACAGAGACAATTTGGACATCAACTCTGAATAAATGGGAGCTATTGTTCTTACTGGGACTTTCCAGGTGTCTCAGTGGTAAAGAAGCTGCCTGCCAATGCAGGAGACTCAAGATACGTGGGTTTGACCCCTGGGTCGGGATGATCCCTGGAGGAGGAAATGAAAACCTGCTCCAGTACTCTAGATTGCCTAGAGAATCCCATGGACAGAGGAGCCTGGTGGGTTCAGTTCATTGGGTCACAAACAGTGAGGCATGACTGAGGAGACTCGGCACGCACATAGGTGTTCTTACTACTTTACATTTGTATTTCCCCTTTCCTTATAATATTTTTTAAAAAACCTACCTCAATCCTGCCAAACCCTACATCATTTCTGCAAACAAAAAACCTATTTAAAAGAACTCAGGAGAAAGAAATAGAAAAAAAAGAACAAGCAAACAATCCCCTTATGTCCACAAAATCATCAAATGCTACTCTATGATGTTCAAGCCAGTGTTCAAGCAGAATAACTATTTCCTCACAGGGCTTCACCCCCACACCTTTGAAAGGCTTTCCAGTCTTTTTCCTCACAATATAAAAGAACAGTTGGATGCCCAGACTACACTGAACTGACCCGGGGGAGCCCTTTAATGCTATTATTCCCTGATTTTTATAACCAAAGAAAATAACATAGCATCTAATCAGTATTTACCTTTTTCCCTTTCCTTCCAAATTATCAATATATTATCCTACAAAGTAAGCCCAGTTTGCATAACTAATTCCCTAATTTTATTTACTAAATCTCCATGTACAGTAAAATGTTTCAATTTCCATTTTCTGTGAAACACAATACCGTTTCTGAAAACAATCTCTCCTCCAGTGAATATAGGCTATATTAAGAAGAAATGTTAAAGGAGTCCTTTTTCTTTAATTACTAAGGAAAAGCAAAGTGGAGAGGAAAACCTAGAGACAGAAAGGGACCAAGGAGGCATCAACCAGGTGCAGGAGGCAGATCTCATGTGGAGTCCAACAATGGTGAATGAAAGAGGTTTCTCAGTGAGATGATCAACAACATGTAAGCATGATGAGAAAGCTGGTGACAGTCAGGAATTTGGGTTATTTTTCAGGTGAAATAATGTGGTCTCTTTTCAGTCTCTGAGAGAAAAACTAATGAAATATTTACTGATGAACTAATCTGAGATCTAGAATCTGCTCCAGAATAGTCTGGGGTGGGGGTGGGGCAGGCAGAGGGCAGGAGTGGCAGCAAGACTGGCCACCATCTGATCCCGGGTGAACCTGGGGTAGGTACATGAGAGTTCATTACATTGTGCCATTTTTATGAAGTTTTGTAATTGTGCCCTAAAAGAGAAGTGAAAGTGAATGAAACTGCAAAAAGGTGAAACAATCCCCACCCCAAAAAAGGTATTCTGTGTCCTTACGACATCAGAATTCAAACAGTAGCATGTGTGTGTGCATGTTCGTGAGAAAACCAGCTTCAAGTATTAAGCAACACTAAAAGATCTTCTAACAGATCTTGCAGCTTAAACCAACACGATTATCATTTGAAATCTGAGCATATGCAACTCAGAAGTCATTACTCACCTTTTTCAAAGCACAAGCCTTTATTACTTTTTCATATCGTTCTTTTTCATATTTCTTCCCAAATAAAATGTTACTCCTCACAGTTCCTGAGAACACCCAGGGCTGCTGAGAAACATACGCGATCCTCCCGTGCACGCTGACCTGTCCCTGGTTCAGGGGCAGCTCCCCCAGCACAGCGCTCAACAGTGAGGACTGAAACAGACAGCAACACACACATGTGAACAGGCAGCACTCAGGACAGAACACGCCCGGAAGCACAGCCGACCCCACCCTGGTGCTTGATACACGATAGAACCCTTTCATTTAGAACAGGACAAAGTACAGTTCTGGCAGTTGCAGGGGGAATAAAAAAAAAAATAACACTATTGATCAATATAAACTAATAAATGAATGTATTCGGTTGATAAGTAATGTTATTATTAATAAACACTAAAACAACCTAAACGGGTTTCCCTGGTGGCTCAGACAGTAAAGAGTCCACCTGCAATGCAGGAGACCTGGGTTCCACGCCTGGGTGGGGAAGATCCCCTGGAGGAGGGCATGGCAACCCACTCCAGTATTCTTGCCTGGAGAATCCCCATGGACGGAGGAACCTGGCGAGCTACAGTCCATGGGGTAGCAAAGAGTCAGACACGACCGAGTGACTAAGCACAGCATAACAACCTAAACTGCCCAATAGTTTCTCCCAAATGAAATGCTAAACTCAGCGAAGCCCAGCAGGATGCGTGGTTCATGTATCTGATGTTTAATTCAGCTCTTCCTGCATCCCAGGCATCCTTTACTTATCAAATATTTGTTCTCTGTTTTCTGTGACTAACATATCCAAAGATGGTTATTTTTTCCAAAAAAACCTCTGGAGTCATGTTTCAAAAAAGTCCACTGTATAGCAACTCATCACCATATCATGTACATATCCCTCATTTAGAACTCTGTGTTTTGTTCTTTCAGACTAGGTTCATATGCACATGTCATTCAAATCTTGTCTACAGAAGTGGTGTGTCTGTATCCACACATCACAACACTACCACACTGGGCTGAAATAATCTGTTTGCCCCGGAACCTGGTTGCCTCTGGAGAGCAGAGACGTTGGAATCTTGCTCTCATCTGTACCTTTAGCTCCAGCACGTGGCTACACATTCACTACCCTGGGCAAGGATGGGACCAAGTCATGTCATGGGAGGAAATGCTCAAAATTCCCAGAAGAGCCTTTCCAATCTCCAAACTTCCTGGATGGACAACCGTCACAAAAAGAAGACCCCTCTAACTCATTCTGTCCTGAACAGCAGTCAAAATAATTTCCTTCACTGACACGTCAAGAGCCTGACAAGCAGTTTCCAAATGTGCAACGTGAAGCACCAAAAAGGAAAGCGGTGTGCATTTATCCAGATTTATCTGGCCACGAGACCGTCTTGAAAAACTAATGTTCCATGGAACACATCTAGAGAAAACACTGTTCTAGACACCTTCAATTCAAAGTGAATTATACACAGCTCTGGGCTCAACTCAGAATTTAACACGGGTTGTGGTGTTACATCAAGCTGGCAAAAGGCATCACAACTTACCTTTCCTGCTCCCACAGGTCCGACCACAGCTAACAGTTCACCGGGTCTGACAGTAAAGGAAAGGCCTTGTAGGGTTGGGGTGTCTGATGCCTGCAAATATAAGTTAAGAAAACTTTGTTCATCTCAATAAAATAACACAAAGAACTCTGAAAAGTGGAGAAAATAAGATATCATTGATATGCAAATATAACCCATATTTTCCTCCTTTCTGTTTTAAGATACTGAGCCTTGGGGGCCTTTATCCCAAAATATCTTTGAAACAGCTTTAGTTTGCCTTTAGGAAGGCTCCTTCTTTTTACCAGATTTCCATACAAACACTGTTCCAGGTGCTCACTGGATTTAAGGGCTGAAATGACAAGTCACGTGTTCAATATGTACCTGCATTTTGCACACTAACTTACTACAATAACTTACTTAATTGAATATCCAATATGGGAGGTTTTTAAATCAATTGTGAATTGTGAATTGTGGTTATGTCAACTTCAGTACTGTCCACAAGGTGGCAGAATACATACACATCATGCCTGTTCCTCTACTAATAATTTGCCATCTCCTCTCACCTCTGTATTTTCACTTGGTAAAGAATGAGTCTTACTAATGCTCAGAAAGCAGCAGGTCACTTTATATGATATAGTTGCTCTTGGTAAATAAAGTTGCATAAATGGTAGTCAAGGCTCCAATTTAACCAGACCTGTAGTTTCACACCAAAAACAAAACAAAACCAAAAAAGGGGGAGGGAACTAGGTATAACATCATGGGTCAGTAATAATGCCTCAATTTTATCTCTCTTACATGCTAAACAGAGAACAAAGCACCTCTACTGTAAAACCAAAACAAACCAGGGAGTTATGTGTGATGGTAAAGAATCCAACACAAAGGAGAAGAACAAAGTATTCATCATGCATCATTCAATCACAGGTCATGTTTGTGAACAAACTTAAGGGTGCATATATGTGTCATTACATGTACTGTGTCCTTAACTACTAATTTTTCTAAAAGTAGTTAAATGTGATTACATAAAATGCACAAAGACTAATAAAAGATAATGTTCTAAATGGAAAATTTCTCTGGAAAAAAACTCAACTGATGATATAGTCACTAAAAAAAAAATAATTATTTATATCATCAAAATAACTAGCCCTAGATTTTAAAAGAGACATCTTTTTACTCCTTTCTTTTTAACTGACCCCTGGATTCCGTAATTATTTTTCACTCAGAAATATTTCATTATTTTCCTCTCACATTGGTTCATAATTCTGTGGATAAAATACACAAGCATAGCTTCCTGTTGCAACCCTTCACTTGGTTAGGGCAAAATTTATGGACTTCCTCTTTGTTCGGGCCTGAGGCTTTTCATTATTAAAATACTAGCCCCAGGTTTCATAGGAATTACAAAGAGGCTAGACTGTAATACATAAGAAACATTTTTAAAGCATCCTCCAAATTCTTTATTCTTCTCTAACATTCAGGGCTTCTATTTTACTACTTTTCACTCAGCTAAGGCTAAAAATAGGGAGCCACCCCTGTCACCAACCCTCACAGTTTGTCAGGGCCAGACACTCAATTTCCGCCCTGTTCAGGCTTCAGGGTTGGGCACTGCTCTGCTGTGCCCAGAAGGGGGCAGCACTGCACTGCTCACTGCTGCTGGGTCCCCTCCCGTCTTGGTTATCCAGGCTCAGGAGATGCTGGCTCAGAAGCATCATCAGCTGAGCCCCACTCTAGTTCATGAGTGAGACCCGGATCCTGAGATGAATATCTCATGATATTCATGCTGGTCATGGAGGGGAGCAGGGTACAAAGCTCAGGTCTTCCTCCAGCCTCCCAGCCCAGCAGGGGCTTCATTCAGACTTAGCTTCTTTCTAAATCTCCAATGTCAGTGTCCCTCCCCCCTCCCAAGGGCTCTCTCACCTATGACCTAACCTGACAGCCCCTAATTACTAATGACCCCAGCAAGGGACACATTCCTTCCACAGGCAAGGTCAGAAAGCTGTGATGTACTGTAATGCAAATTGCACAGAAGTATCAGAACATGATTAACTTCTTTGAACTAAGAGCAAAAGAGTTCATTTTAAGTTTGGAACAAGATAAATTTGGTAATGTTAGCATTTACATAGTAGCCCTTATAATGGAATTTTAATGCTGTTTTCCATAAATGCTTCAACTGTATTATGATGAGAAATACAAAAATAGGAGGGAAAATCTATAACATTAAGCTAGGAGCAACTATCAGGTGGGAAAAGTTATCTTGTTTGAATTTCCATGTGCAAAAGCTGTAGGGGTATATGACCGTTCTGTAGGTGCAGAGGCAGGTACTGATCTGAAGCAGTGGCACAATATGTAGTGTCACACACTCAAGTGGCACACTATGTAATGTCACAGGCAGGAAAACACATTAAGTCCGCAGGGTCTAGACACTTGCACTGTGGTCCCCAGTGCCACCAGCAGAGAGACTCTTCCACGGTCTGCAAGTAATTCCCTGCATGGAACTCCCTTCTCCTGGGCCATGTGTTCTATCTACCCTACTATCCTATGCCACCCCCTGATTAATTCCCTGATAGCTCAGTTGGTAAAGAATCTGCCTGCAATGCAGGAGACTCCGGTTGTTTCCAGGGTCAGGCAGAAAAGGTTGAGAAGGGACAGGCTACCCACTGCAGCATTCCTGGGCCTCCCTTGTGACTCAGCTGGTAAAGAGACCGCCTGCAATGCGGGAGACTCGGGATCAAACCCTGGGTTGGGAAGATCCCCTGAAGAAGGGAAAGGCTACCCACTCCAGTGTTCTGGCCCAGAGAATTCCATGGATTGTATAGTCCATGGGGTCGCAAAGAGTCAGACACAACTGAGTGACTTTAACTTTCACTTCCACACCAGTGCAGGGGAGGATGTGCACAGAGAACCATGGAACCATGGAGGTGGAAACTTTTAGTCACTGGTAAAGGGGGAGGCACTGCGTGTACAATTTTGAGAGTGGTCCTTGTTGCTTTTTCTGCTTGCTATTTGTGAAAGTGCTCACTATGCCCACCTGCTGTCTCCTCCTGGCCCCTGGCTGCCAACAAACTAGCTGGAACCATGCAGAAGCTTAGCATGGGGGGGCCGCCACCCTAACTTACAGCAACTAACTCAGCAGTAAAGAATCTGCCTGCAATGCAGGAGACAAGTGTTCAACCCTGAGTCAGTAAGATCCCCTGGAGTAGGAAATGGCAACCCACTCCAGTATTCTTGTCTAAGAAATCCCATGGACAAAAGAGCCTGGAGAACTACAGTCCATGTGGTTGCAAACAGTCAGACAGGGCAGAGCACGCAAGCATGGTCTTGCTAGGCTGCAATGATGGTCTGACAACATCAAGGCAAAAAATGTACACTGATTCCCAAAAACCTGCTGTCTTTAATGACTGGTTGTATATTTGTTGGTTAACCCGCATTACAACTGAGGCATTTTCTCTCCAATGCTGCAAATTCTACCATTACAAACATATGTACTTTAAGTTCCAAATGGGTTAATAGTTCTCTTGAGAGCCACACATCAAATGTCTTAGGCTGATTTCACACTGAATCTCTATCACATGCAAACATTACTCCTCACTGAGAATTTTTTATAACATACTTTCAGTAAATGAATAAATCACATTTATGCCATATATAAAACTTCAATATTCTCCAAGAAACCTTTCAGCAGTCAAGATCTTGTAATAGAAGGTTTGCTACCTTATCCCAAAAAGCAGTGCAATCTTGCACATTCACGATCATTTTACCATCTGATGGTAGTTGCGAGTGGAACTGTGTTATCTCATCAAGTAACAGGAAGTTCTACAGAAGAAGGAAACACATAGATTAGATTATTTAAACTATAGGAACAAAGAATAAACAAAACGAATTGCTTCCTTAGAATCTTCAATAAAAAAAATTTATGCAGCCTACATACTACTATGCCAACTGTATGTAATGTGTAGTTTACACTAGAACAAACCAGGTAACACATACAATATTATATACTATTATAGCAACATACAATGAAGTATATGTATATATACACACATATATACACATTATTATAATAGCATACAATAAACTATATTATATATATACACATTATTATAATAACATGCAACAAAGTATATTATAAATATATATACATACATGGAACTTGTTCTGGGGAGAATTGTAAATCCCACTCAAAAAATATCATAAGGTCCTAACCCCAAATACTTCAAAACATGACTTTATTTGGAAATAGGGTTGTTGCAGATGTAATCAATTAAGGTGAGCTCACAGTGGATAGGGTGGGCACTGGACCCAATAAGATTGGTGTCCTTATAAGAAGAGAGACACAGAGACAGAAAATAACTATGTGATTATGCAGACAGAGGCTGGAGTGATGGCAGTTACAAGTCAAGGAGTTCTAAGGTTTGCCTGCAAATTCCTAAGCTAACAGAGGAGAGGCAGTGGGTTACCCTTGTAGGATTCAGGGGGATCCTGACTCTGCTGACATCTTGGTTCCAGACTTTTAGGCTCCAAGGCTGTGAAACAACATAATTCTGTGGTTTTAAGCCACCAAGTTTGGGGTACTTTTTATGGCAGCTCCAGGAAATCTATTCAGAGACTTAAAAGGACTCTTGCATGAGAGGAAACACAAAATATCCTTGTAAGCATCTTGGGTAATTGTAAACAACTTGTAAGCAGGACGGGTAATTCTAGGACCAAGAGGCAAACTGAATCCCCACCAACACAGGTGGCAACTGACACAACATGTGAGGAAGTTTGAGAAACAGAACAACACATGAGCAGGAACCTTCTCTCTGCTAAACATCATGAACAGCCTTCAAGTCCTTGACATCCTCATCTATTGTGCCACAAAGCTACATATGTGTTTGCACCTTGAACTTCAAAAGAACAACTGGTAAAAACAGCATAAAAACCTGCTTCTGTGCAGGAAAAGGAAGAAGAGATCCCTGCATCTCTCCAGAGACCAGCAGGTGGGAGTCACAATCCACTTGTTCCCTCCTCCTCTCATCCAGGCGCCCCGAGAACCTGGACACGGGGCACGGATACTCCTACCCGCTCCGAGCCTGTGTCCAGCAGGAGGAAGGACAGACGGACGGTGGTCTGAGCACTCCTCTGCAAACTCTCAACCACCGCAGCCGAGTTCTCTCTCCACACCACCTCTCCCATCGTCAGCCATGTACCAGCTCTCGCCTGTTCTGACACAGTTTATCTCTCTGCCAATTCTCTGTTCCTCTTGAAACAACATAATTTCAGCATCTCACTCGCTATAATTATTTCAATTACTGATATATCTTTTTTTTTTTTTGCTGGTTCTTTCCCCAGCCCTCCCCACCACCACTGACCCTACCTCAACACCACTCCCTCTTGATCCCTTTACAGCACGACTGAACGTGTCCACCACATTTAAATACCCACAATGTCCCACCAGCACCTAAATCCACAGTCCCCAAGTGGCCGCTGCCTAGACACCCTGAGTACTAATCTCATCCATCCTTCCAGTCCATCTCAAATGCTAATCCTCCTGGGAATCCGCTCAGAACCCTGGAGGCTGCCACCATCCTCCCCACCTTTGAAACCCCAGGGGAACAGTAAGTCATATAGAGAGGAGACACTATGTCATTCATGCACTTACACTGTCCAATTAAGACTGAGCCCTGCACAAAGTCAGCCCATCATAGGCATTAGCTAAAGGAAGAGACTGTACCATGTAGTGGTTGCATGGATTTTTCTGTCACTGACTGCATGGCTACAGCCTTACCCAGTCTGAGTTCACATAGCAGCAAGCAAAAGGTTGTATGTATATATTATCCAACTTGTCTAGACAGAAATTAAAATTTTAGCTTAAGCATGTTACCAAAAAACTCAATATCCAGTGTGTGTATAGTCATCTAGAAATTCCTCACTTTCAAAAAAAACTGACTTAAAAAAAGAAAAAATTTATGCCTTAAATGAAAATTAAATTTATTGAGCATTTGTCCACACATAATAGGTCTGAGTGGGGAAAGACAGTATAAACTTCCAGAGGTTAAATGAGATTCCAACACATGACCAGCTTGTAAAGGAACCAAAAGTGCTGGCTGCATTTTTTTTTCCCCAGGGCTCAGGCTGATGAAAAAGCTGGAATTAAGTGGCCATTAGAGCCATGAAGTGCAGACCCAGAACAGGTCAGGCAGAAAAGTATCAACGTCAGAACTGCAGCCAAAAAGACGGACTTCCCAGTGGCTAGAAAGGGAAAACCTACATAGCTTTCTGAACAATATCAACCTCAGAGACATATTTCACTGGATATAAAAGACACTGAAGACTTTTGGTGCTTCTAAGTTAAGACAAGATATTTATAATCCTATTGCAGTAGCACAATGCCAAAACCTTCAGTCCACTTTTATTACTAAGAGAAAACTAAAGGGACCATTGCACCCCCTCCAAGGTGGGCAGGGGTGGAGGGTTTCCTTCCTAGGGCTCCCAGACATGACCTGAGCGGAAATCCTGGGCAATGACCACCCAGTCTATGGAGTCCCACCCTGCAATGGGGCAGCAGGACTCAATACCACACCTTGTTCTAAACTCTACATGCCTGCCATGCCTCCAGCCCACCTGTGATCAAACTTTGCCCAGTTCTGACCACTTGGGTCAGTAAACTCAGCTGACATTTTCTTCTACTCCTGCTGCCCTTTTTGCCTTCTAATTGGCCTTGAACACATCCAAGTGAGAGTCAAGGAAGAAAAAAAAACAAGTTCTTGTTCTTCTCCTTCCAGGTGACTTGCCAGCCCTAAAACTCAAAGCACCTCGGGACTTGAAACACTCCCAGGGAGTCAGCATCACTCTACCTGAAATGATGCTGGGCAGTGCAGGGCTGGCCGTGCATATACATGGAAGCCCTGGATCAGGGTAAACAAAAGTGCTGGGAGAGTGTCACGGGGCTGGATGAGGTTCAGGAGCATTTGCTTAAATCAAAGACAGAGGAGAAGGTGACCCAGGGGGCCCAAACGAGTGAGCCAAGACATTCCACCATTCCACATGCCAGAAGGTACAAACAAGATATTGGAACAGTGGTTTCAAAAAAAAAAGAAATCAGGCTTTGGGCAGAATCCTAGTTCTGTCATTTGAAAGCTGCGTGAGGATGGGTGAGCTATTTCACCTGTTACACAGGAACCTGTTTCCTTATCTGTAAAGTAGGGACATTAATGCTACTCTCATTCAAATGTTGTCGAGATGAAGTTAGATGATGTGTACAAGGTTTAAGAGATCCTGGACCACACAGGGAGCCCTGCAGCAGCGATAACGAAACCACAGCAACACAACACACATGTGAAGCTTCCCTCTGGACAGGTCACCGTTTCACTGAGAACATTACTATGGTCCAAATTCATTCCTAAGTGTTCTGCTTCAAGATGTGAAAGCAGAAAGAAATTTTATTGAACTGTATGGACCATTCCTTAACAGTGTTGCTAGCAGCCCCATCAGAAAGAAAGATAAACTCAGGGGACCAGAACTGACCTCATATGACTGATCTGTTTTAGGTGCAATGGTTTTTTTATACTACAGAAACTTCATAAAATATCTCAGCTTTTATGGCAAGACCAAAAAATAAAGTCAAAACCACAGCCAAAGCTAATTTCACTGGAGGTCTATTATTGGCCAACCATCACTGTGGAGACATGGGAACAAAACAAATTAGATGTTTTATAAAGCCCAAACACTTAAGTTCATGCCCAGGCCACCTCACAGAGCCAATTCATCCTCATTTTTGACTGATTCATAAAAACATAAATCCTTAAATATCTACAGGGTCTTATCTTGGTGATGGAAATTATTAATCTCTGGCAATTTAAAGACACTTTTTAAATAGAGAGCGGGACAGATTGTGGGTATGTTGGAATCTCAGGTTTGAAAGGAAGAGGGCAGCTAGAGAGGATGAAGTAGTAACAGAAAAAAGGCAGAGACAAAGAGGCAAATCAAAAGGGGAAGTTCAGAAATCAAGTGAAACATCTATGGAGGAAAGAATCTATTTTAGATACAAAGAACTAAGTGAATCTGAGGCCACTATTCCTGCCTAAGGAGCAGGGACCTCTCAGCAAGTTCCTCCCCTCCCAGCCCAGAGAGGAATCCTATTCACGCCAGGACTGAGCACGGTCACTACCTAGTTATTCGAGGGAGCACAGGAGATGCAATCTGTTTGCTGCTTCTCCTTTCAAACAACTTAATCATCCTGCAGTCATCAAGAGCCTGTACCCCTGCGACTCACTGCAGAGATCATATGATATTTACAATGCACTCTGTATCAGAGGACAGGGGAGTGCTGAGACATTTCGGAATGACTGCCAGCCTTGGCACTAAGAAAAGTAAACCTCAGCTAACTAAAACACATTGACACCAAATAAAAAGAGGCAAAAAAAAAAAAAAAAAAAGACACAAAATCCACCTACAATATAATAAAGTTAAGTGTTGGCAAACCTTGATCCTTCGGATGCTGACGAATGCCTCTGACGCCTTCTCGACGGCCGAAGGGAAGAAGAGGGTGACTGTCAACCGCACAGCCCCGTACAGCGACACTGCCACAAACACACGGCTGGCTGTGATCACGTTTCCAAGGAGCACGTAGGTGGTGAAGGTGACGAAAACGATGATTTTGCTCGCAACAAAAAATGATGCCAAATTCATCCCTCTGAGGTAGGAACTTCTCAGAATCTTGGAAATTTCTTTCCTGGAAAAAAAAGTGTAGGAAATAGGTTTTAAAAGAAGCATCGTCCAAGATAGGAATTCAGCACCCCGTGTGAGGGGCCCCTTTCTAGGGAATGGACACAAATTAAGATAATCCATCCCTCACGACGCGGAGATACTGCATACCAGGAAGCATTTAACCAGAGGCTTCCCATGTGCTGTCGTGGATCTGTCAGGAGCCCTCTGGCCCTTATTGATTCCTGAATATTCAGGAATTAAGAGGAGAGGCAAGCCTTTCCGGGGGCTGAGGAATTCAGGCATTTCTCATTCCAGTGGTAAGTACCCTCTTCCTTTTTATGAGCCAAATGGTAAAAGGGGATAATTTGCAGCTCTCTCTTTGATAGGGATCATCTTATGTTTTGTAAGTCTGGAATTTTAATCTTTGTCTTTGCTGAGAATAACCACCTGGTAAGACAGCATATATGCCCACGTCATGTTGATTAAAAACACCTTTGCTCCATCAGAGCTTGGGTCCCCGTGTCTACCTTTCTTTCTCGCTCTCTCTCCTCTGTTTCTGGCTAATTAATTCCCTGCGCCTTCACTCACTCGAGGGGGCGCCTGGTGCCTCCGTGCAGCAGCGCGAGCCCTCAGAACAGGCCTCTATTGGCTTTCCGCGTAAACCAGGGGATGTCAGCCTCTTTCTCTCTCTTACTCTCGGAACCACCCGGTTCCGACCAACAAGCGCTATCAGCCTCTTCCTCTCTCTTGCTTTCTTCTTGTTGACTCCGGACCACCAGGTTCCGGTCCATTAAAGGACCAACAAGAGGCACCCAGATACAGGGACTCTGGTACAACACGGGTAAATCGGCTGGAAAGCCCCCGCACTTTTCTACTTTACTTCAGCACTTATTTAAAGGTCAGGGATTTTCGGTTTCACGCCAGAGAACAGAGACTTGCCTTCAGACAGTGGTTGAATGTAACCCTTGGTTCCCTAATGAAGGTAGTTCCGATAGATTTCTGGCCCCTATGGGCTCTCATTGAAACTGATTCTACAATTTCAAGGTAATTCTAGCCCTCCAGATATTTGGCAACAGGCAGAACACTTATTACATGAATATAAATTAGACGATGATACCTTACAAAAGGCCCAATTAGAACAACAAAAGATACTTCAAGATTTTCCTACTAACCCTGCCCCCGTTGCTCCAAGGGCTCCTCCCCTGCCAGAGGGCACATATCCCAATTTCTCTCCCTCAATAAAACTTAATGATTTTGACAAAGACTCCCCTAAGACACCTTTTAACATTAAAACTGACAACACCTTTCTGAATAACAATAATCTACCTGCTTCCCGACTGAGGCTCTCTGAGTTGCCGGCTTTCCAAGTCTCTGAAGCTGAAGGTTTCCCATCCTTTCCAGTTGCCCTCCTTTGTTGCATGATCAATTAAAAACAGTGGCCCTTGAAGCTTGGGATCGAATTAGTCCTCAAGGGGAGCCTACAGGTAGCTACACTAAAATATTACAGGGACCTAATGAAAAGTATGCCGATTTCTTAGCTAGATTAGAAACTGCCATTTGCTAAAAGGCAACTAGAAAAATTACTTGCTTATGAAAATGCAAATCAGGAATGTCAAAGGGCTATAGCCCCAATTCATGATACACAGACTATTTTGATTATTTGAAGGCTTGTCGCAATATAGAATCAAAAACTCAAAAGATGCAATGCTAGCTGAAACAATGGTTGTTGCCTTAAAAATAGGAAAATAATAGATGATTTACATGTAAAGATAAGTACCATTTAAAAAGAGGCTGCCCTAAGAAAAAACCTCCAAAAATCTGCCCTTACTGCCGTAGAAAAATGCATTGGGCCAAAGAGTATAAATCTAAATTTGCTATTAAAAAAAACCCTATTCTGGGAAACTCCAAGCAAGAGACCTCCCAGGTCCCTTTCAACAAAAACCAGGGACAAATTCCATCTTTTCCCTCAAACCCTCAACATGCGGCAGTGCTGCCCTCTATTATACCAGCCCTAAACTCCTTTACCCTCAAAGCAGTCCTCCCTAGAATACCTACTAGACTTTTTGGGACCCTGCCCCCACAAACCTTCAGTCTTTTATTGACTGATCTAGTTTGACTTAACAGACAAAAAAAAGGGGGGTTTCCAAATGGAAAAAATAGGCTGTCAGACATTTTTATCTCTCTTAAGCAGCAGAAAAAAAACTAGCGATATATATTTTTTTTTCTTCTCTCTACAAATTTAAAGAGGTTTCTCTTAAAATACTGAGTTGCCATAATGACACCTGGTTTCACTTAAACTTAACTTTTCTCAAACCCTGAGTTAACCAATGCATTTTTCTTATGAAAATGTTTGTCTTAAGCTATGTTAATGTGCTATACATTTACCCCAGTCTTCAAGCTGGTTCTGCCTAAGACTCAAAACAGACTTGACAAACCAGTATGTTTTACTCATGCAAATGTTCTCTTAAGATATGTTAATGACTGTATTTGCTTGGAAACCTGCCTTTACACTAAATTTCATTCTGCTCAACAAAATAAATTATATGCTCTTATTCAAGTTATTTGTCTACATTCTTATCCCATTAATATAGTCTCTTGATTCTAAATATTCATTTTTTGTATTGAAAGATATAAAAAGTCCACCATAAACTCCTAGTTCTATTAAAACAGACACTGGCCCTGCCTATATTTCTATATACTTTAAACAATTTTTACAATCTTTTTCTATTAAACATGTTACAGGTATTCCTTATAATCCACAGACATGAGACAGAGTCGAACAAACACATCACACACTAAAGTTACAAATAAAAAAATTAAAGAAGGGGGAATACACATGTACACTACTGTCTTCCTTATCTAAAGCAGACTTTACTAGATTCCAACATAAGATATTTTCTAAACCCATAACTATTGTTAATACAGTTTTATTTGTTTTAAATTTTTTAAACCTACCACAGGGAAATATTTTAACAAGAGAAGAAAGACTTCGAGGAATTAAAGGACCCTTCTCTTCCTCTGCCCATTTGGGACCAAGACGGGTTCAATAAACAATAGAAATTTGAGAAATTAATCTTACGGGGAAAGGGATATGCTTTATTTCCCCAGGTGGATCCAACAAACTTTTTCCTTGGAAAATTCGACCCAAGGGGGCGCCCGACATTCAAAATTGAAACAACAAAAACCCTGGGAGGAAAAAGTTCCAATACAGGGCATGGCTGCTCTAAAGATCTCCAGAAAGCACCCTCAGCGACATCAACCCTATGATCTCCTCACTTGGGGACAAATAAAAACCCTCACTAATCAAGTTAAAAATCTGATTTCTCAACAGGGAAACCTTATCACTATGCTCTCACTAGGCTCGGAAACCGGAAACCTTATCACTAGGCTCGCCTGCGACCCCCGCCCCCTCAAGCGGATTAACTAATTTACTTACCCAACCCCCCTTTATCTCAGGTCATAAAATGGATGGAGAAAAGAACCATCTAACAACCAATGACTCCACCCACATGCCCCCTCCCTGGAGCCCTCACACCCTGGGAAGGAGGGAAAACTAATTAACATTTCTTTAGGTTATGAAGTCCTTCCTTTTTGTATGGGCCCAGGAAAATTATGCATAAACATCGGCCTACAAACTTGGGCTTTCGTCCTGCCTCCAAAAGAAGACTTTCGGACATTGCTGCCCTTTTTCTGTCTGTGAACCATGTTTACTACTGAAACTTTAGGGAAAGAGTTAGGGAAAGAACAAAAAACATTATGTAAAAGGTTACTAACACAACGTTGAAACATTACCATGACAAAGGACTTCTTGGCTGACATCCTCCTCCTCCTCCTCGAATCATCCTCAATAAACAAATTGGGCCTGAACTAGAGACATATAAAACATATGGAAACTTGCTGCCAGCATCAAAGAACTTGGGACTCGGACTGGAGATTTCAGAGACCAGTCGTGGTCATAGTAACTATTTCTTTCGCTATAATCAGTCATACTATACAGGCCTGTATCCCACTTCCTTTTGTTATAGCCATAAGAAATTTACAACTTGATCTGTAACTTGTATTAATTGCCAATTTTGTGATACTCCTGTTTAATTCAATCATAGTACCTACTATTGGGAACAAATCAAATGTCATTTACATGATAATGACTCTCTGAATGTACAATTACTGCGAAAGAAAATCTTTTGAAACTTTTTCTAAAGGTCTGCCCTTTTCCACTAACTTGGAAACTTTAGCTGAACAAATTATCCGGGCTAGACCCACAAGGATGGTTTCAAAGTATTACCCACAGCATCTAAAATTAACTTTGGTGATTGTCTTGATAATTGTATTTGTTGTTTATCGTTGCCTTTCTATAACAAAACTCATTTGGTCAAGACCTTATTTTTTTTACAAATATATTAAAATAGGGGGAATTGTCAGGAAGCATTTTTGCTGTTTTGGATCTGTCAGGAACCCTCTGGCCCTTATAGATTCTCCTGAATATTCAGGAATTAAGAGGAGGGGCAAGCCTTTCCAGGGGCTGAGGAATCCAGGCATTTCTCATTCCAGTGTTAAGTACCCTCTTCCTTTTTATGAGCCAAATGGTAAAAGGGGATAATTTGCAACTCTCTCTCTTTGATAGGGATCATCTTGTGTTTTGTAAGTCTGGAATTTTAATCTTTGTCTTTGCTGAGAATAACCACCTGGTAAAACAGCATATATGCCCACGCCATGCTGATTAAAACACCTTTGCTCCATCAGAGCTGTGGTCCCCATGTCTGTCTTTCTGTCTCTCTCTCTCTCTCTCTATTTCTGTCTAATTCCTTGGAGCGCGGAGGCCTGCTGAGCTCACTTTCTTGCCCAGGCTTCTAAGACCCTCTCGAGAAGGCGTGCTGCGCCTTCACCCACTGGAGGGGGCACCCGGTGCCTCCGTGCAGCAGCGCGAGCCCTCAGAACAGGCCTCTATTGGCTTTCCGCGTAAACCAGGTGATGTCAGCCTCTTTCTCTCTCTTACTCTCGGAACCACCAGGTTCTGGTCCATCAAAGGACCAACACATACCCAGGGGCGCTGCCCTGAGACAAGGACCACATATTTCACCACCACTTCACCCTTCCAACTAAATGGAGTCTTGATGTCACACTCTTAAACGTTTTGGGTCAATCAGACAAGGTTTGGACTTTCATTCAATCAGCATTCATGACAAGTCCTGGGCTGAGTTCTTCACTGATGACAAAAGACAGAGCCCATTCCCGCCAGGAGCTCATGACATTGGAGGAAAGAGAATAAGCAACCCCAAAACTGAGAGACAACAGATAGGAGCAGTGAGCACAGAAACAAAAAGCGGAGCAGTGGAGTCAGGGCAGGTCACAGGGATGAGGACCTTGAGAAGATGAGCTGGATTCAGTCAGGGCTGGCGGAGGCCAGAGAAGAAGGAAGATGGGAGTGTATTCCCAGCAGAGGGAGGGGCCCCACAAAGGTGCAACGTGAGAGGTGACAGGGAGCAGCCAGGGAATTCTAACACTCATCAGATATGTAAATGAAAATTAGAAAAAAATTCTGGAAACATAAAGCAAAGCATAAAAAAAATTTTTATGGCTCTCTTTGGAATAATACTGATTCATAAAGTCTGGCCTGATACATGCACACTCAACCTCTATAATCTCCCCATCTGTGCTATATAAGTTATAGTTTCAATTTAAATATCATTTTAAATGCTAACATCCTAAATCATTGCTCATTTGGGATGTATGATATTAAGAAATACTTGTTATTTAATTTCTATATAAGTAAGAAGCATATATATTTATTCCTTTACTCAAATGATGTCTCTCCTATTCTACTTAACCTTCCAGCCACATGTATAAAGTGTGAACTAAAAGGTATTTAGTCTCACTTTAATCTGAAAACTTGGGAAGACTTCTAAACCACTCAGTAAATATGAAATAAACCAGAAAATACGTGTGTGTACAAAAACTTACCTTCTCAAATTGGTGATAAGGTCTGCAAAAGACTTTTCCCAAGCATACATTTTTATTATTCTGATGCCAGTTATAACTTCATTCATGGTCCTGATTCTGGTGTCTGTGAAGGCTGCAGTCTTACTCCTAAGGGGACAGATGTGAGAGATGAGCCTTAGTGACCACAGGAAGAATTTCCTTACCGACAGCAGCAGGGGCACAGCCAAGCACCAGGGATCAAGTGATTCCCTGCAGCTCTCCTAAGCTGACAACACAGGCAGGTCCTACTCAAAGTACAAACGGAGACTTCAATTACGGAGTCAACCATTCAGCCCACTTCAAGAAGTAACCTGGAGAACTTACAGTACTGGCTAAGACCTGAAATGAGTTAGATACAAACCACCTGACCAAGGAAGTCGTGGTTGGGTAGAAAAGTCAGAAAGACACACAAATCTAACAGGAAGACAGTGTCAGTGATGTAATAAAATAGGAGTAAAGTGCTGGGGAGCAGAAAAGATGGGGTTGTTAATGGCACTGGGAAAGGAGAGCAAGAAAAGCTTCAGAGACCTGGTAGCACTGGAACAGGGCCTCGAAGGATAAGGAACAGCTTTTCACAGCAAAGGTAGGAAATGAAATTCCAAGTAGAGAAAAACACAGCATGAAAAAGTATACACACACACAAAAAACCTTAAATGTGCTTCAAATAGCACAAGATCTCCATCACCTGACAACCTAGACAATAATCCACCTCCAACCTTCTGGGACCTGTTTCAGCTCTAATTCATCACCATTAGGTCCTTCATCACCAGTCTCTTTTGTTATCACAAATGCTGCTGAGACTGTGGTACTTTAGATTGATCTCACTCTGGGTGCTTATAACGTTGTATTAAAAACAAGATACAAACATATACACACCTGAAAATGGCTCTAACAGAAGCATAACAAAAATATATGCATCTGGAACGAGGCCTCTAAGGCTATTACTATTTAATAAAGCTTAAATAACATCATTTAAGGCATATTCTGCTTAAGGACACTCTACTTATTCAGGTTTGGTGCCTGGAGGAGCCAGCAAATGACTTCAAGCAAATGGTAGATGTTAACCAGTTACATATTAACAATTTTTTAAACCAGTCTCTCTCTTACCGGAGTGATGAAAACAACTTCCCGATGCAGCTTTGCAAAGGCAGAAGAACAATGAGAACCGCCATCCCAGCAAGACATGATATTCCTATTTCCATCCAGAGCAGGGCGGTCACTACGATAGCCTGCAGTGGCCCTGCCCACAGAAAGTGCAAGAATATCGTTACCTTAAAAGAAAAAGACAAAGCCTTCTTAGGACTATACAAAAACAAAACCTATAAGGACACAATTTAAAACAATCTCCTGTCAAAGAACAGATGGGGACCTAAACAGAAATCATCACAGTGGGTTTTAAACCTGCTAAAGCAGAAATCTAAGCATCAGCCTGAGATGATGCTTTCCAGGGCCGCACAAGGTCAGCTGCAGGAATGTGCAGGGAGAAGTTGACTGGCAGCCCCGAGAAGATTTCCATTTTGCCTACCCCAGAGGTGAGCTTAGGGTTTCCCAAAACTCTGTCTACTTCAGAATTCAGTCCTTGTGTCCCTTCCAGCTGCCCGGCACCCCAGTAAAGTCTGATTCCCCCACACTCTCCAGTAATTATTTGTGTATTTACCTCCCTAACAGGTTGTGGCTTTTCCAGGGCAAAAACTAAATCTTGTTCATCCCTAAAACTGAGTAGAGGCCTCTGTTCATGTCTGATGAATGAATAACTGCAAGAGAGGTGTCTAATGCAATACAGATATGACTAGAAGCTATAATGCCCTGGGTGATGTGATCTATTCATAAAGTGCAAAAACAGATTGTAATGGGACAGTGGAGAGTAGGTTGTATCTGGCTGGGGACCACCCAGCTGGCATTATTCCTCGCAGGCTCCCTATGCAGCAGGCACTGGACAGGGCACAGGGGAAACAACAACCCCTGCCCACCAGGCCTTCATCACCTCGAAGAGGAGGAAGACAGTTCAGGCAGCAAACTGACACCATGTGCCACGAAGGGCCACGCCAGAAGGACCCCTAAGCAAGGGGGACACTAACCAAGCTGGGCAAGAACTCTGCTGCCTGTCTATTACTGAAGCATGTTGTACACAATGTCAGAAAAACAAAATTCTCATCTACAGGGCAATACACATGATTGCATCCAAGTTGAACACAGAGGAAATGAGTTGGACAAAGAGAACCCCTGTCTTATGTCCTCGACAGAACCCTGGCTGACACCAAACCCTAGAACCTAACATCCCAACAAGCTGAACGCAGTGAGAAGGATGGAAAACGGAAGAGGATCCTTTGGGCAGCTTACCTGATCAAACTTGTTCACATCGTTGGACAGCAGATTGACTATCTGGCCTGTGGTGGTCTTCCCCATAGCCGAGTTACTCAAGCGAAGGGCCTGAAATGAAAAAAAGGCAGAACTGGATTCCTGTGGTGATACCAAGTCACTCTTGGAATGTAACACAACAGAGCATGTTTTGATGTGGTCTTGAGCCATGTCAGGTTGAGGAGTATGACCCCTGACAGCGGGGCTCTAGGGGCCCACGTTTGTCCTTCAACCCCTCAATGTGTTGACAGCCATGTCCACAAAGACAGCAAACAGAAACACAATCTCAAACTTTGTCTTTTTCTTGCCTTTTTTTTTTTTTTTGATAATTTTGGACATGGGCAAAATATAAACGGATATATTAATAGGTTCATACTTACTTTTTAAAGGAAATTTTACATACAAATAAATGGTAATTTTTCATGCAGAAAACACATATTTTGAAGAAGTAGATATTTGATCCCTGATTTTAACCACTAAAAGAAGGCAGAACCGCACACCAACTCTGACTTTAAACTGATCATCAAAGGGAAAAAAAAAACAAATCAACCTAATTGGAATTGATGGACGAAAAGGCTGGTTTTGGAACACAAGTTAACATGAAGCAATTATAACACTGCAGCCAACATAGAAATCAAGAGTCAGTCACATGAGAATCACTCAGATGCTACACAGGATAAAAAAAACAGAACATGATGCGACAGTAGTATTACTAATGAGGAAGACATGACTTACAAGCAAATCTGCCCAGATTTATGCTTCCAACCATGAAAGAATAATGGGTACTAGACTTGCCCTCCATTGCAAAACTATGAAGTTGCATAAAATATACGAAACACTTGTTTTCAGGTGGTGAAAGACCAGCAGTGCAGGACTGTAACCCCCGGGAAGAAGTGTGCCCTATGACTGGCCTGTTTTCTACCTGGGGGTATATTGTGCCCAAGTAGAGTTAAAGTGTCACTGAACTGAAGAAGAAGAAATGGATGTTATAAGTTGCAGATATGGCTGGAGTTTGGGCAGGAATAGCAGAGGATAAGGCCAGAACATCTTGTGGAGATTCCTGAAGGGACCTGGCCAGAAGCTCACTGTGTGTGAACAGACGCAGACGCCACGGGCCTCGGTGAGGTCACTCCGCACCAGGAGACCGCGGACTCTCCCCAACGACAGGAAAGACATCTTCCTGATGAACACCTCAGACACTCACTTCAGCTGCCAGGAAGGACGTGACTACAGTAAGAACCATGGACTTGGACTAAGTTCAAAATGGAAATAACTGCCCTAGACAGACTAACAGAACCAATCTAACTGGAATTCCATATCAGAACAAAGCTCAATATCATCTAATTCAAGGCTTGTTGTTTTTCAGTCACTCTGTTGTGCCCGACTCTTTGTGACCCTGTGGGCTGTAGTCCACCAGGCTCCTCTGTCCATGGGATTTTTCCAGGCCCACCAAATAAAACATAATTCTCAACTTCTAGGTACGGTTTTTAATTTGGTGCACACACTGCTCCCCATTAATTACAGAAAATTAATCTTCAGTTCTAATAAAGTGTGTGCTCAGTTGCTTCAGTCATGTCCTTTGCAACCCTATGGACTATAGCCCACCAGGCGCCGCTTTCCAAGGAATTCTCCAGGTATTCTCAAGAAAACTGGAGTGGGTTGCCATTCCCTCTTCCAGGGGTCTTTCCGACCCAGGGATCAAACCCGAGTCTATAGGAAGGACATGCCTCTAAGTAAAAACAGTTCACATACAGTTTAGAGAAAACAACATACAAATTAATGCTATTATTTTAGTTCTATATTTACTCAACATGTTACAATGGGATATTATCAATATTTGGTTAAATTTGTTTTCCTGGTGGAAGCAAAATAGTTCTACCATGAAAACAATAAAAGGCAAACAAACTGGATCAAATTTGCTCTGTAAGTCAGACCCTAAATTAGTAAGTTAATTAATAAGTCATTAACATTTAAATAAATCAAGAACATCTAAATATTAATTAACAATTATAAAAGCCTACCAATTTTTTTAAGGGACAAAGAACATGTGTTGCAGGAAGGGGGATCCCTTCCAGGGCCTGAAACTGGGCTCTTGTCTAACACTCGGAAATGAATTGTCCCAAGAGACACATGTGCTGACAAAGCAAGAGATTTTATTGGGAGAGGGAACCCGGGTGGAGAGCAGTAGGGTAAGGGAACCCAGGAGAACGGCTCTGCCGCGTGACTTGCAGTCTTGGGTTTTATGGTGATGGTATTAGTTTCCGGGTGGTCTTCGGCCAATCATTCTAATTCAGAGTCTTTCCTGGTTGCACACGCATCACTCAGCCAAGGGATTCTGGGAAGTGGACAGACACGCGGTGTCTCCTTTTGACTTTTCCCCGAACTCTTCCAGTTAGTGGTGGCTTATTAGTTCCGTATTCCCTAACAGGATCTCCTGTCATGAAACAACTCATGCAAATGGTTACTGTGGTGCCTGGCCAGGGTGGGCGGTTTCAATCAGTGTGCTTCCCCTAACAATTCCCTTGAAGCAGGGATCCATTTATGGGGAGGTGGAGGGTAGGGAGGAGAGAAATTACATATGGGACAATTAAGACACTCTATAATCTAGGCCAAACCATAAATTTTGTTCAACTTTTAAAAAAATACAGTGCAAGAAATATTAGTCATTCCATTTGAAAAATAAACAATGTCTCTTTTCTCAACTGTTTTGAATCAGATGTGAAACTCCATAACCCATGTATGGACACACAAATATCACCATCAAAGGAGCAGAGGAGAAAAGAATGTTCTTTGCACATGAATTGAGTTTTCCAGACTAGTGAAAGAATCCAATGTTCATTTTAACAGCATCTCCCCCCAAACCCTGCTGCGGTCGGCCTTTAAAACCAAAGAGAACTCAGTTCATCATCTTAATGCTGCACTCTCATCACCAGCAAGACTTACATCCAGTGTCGAGGACCCTCAGTGCATAGAAGCGCTTCTGTCCCACAGAGTGCTCCAAATGGCCATGCCTTCCTTTTGGGTTTTTCATACATTATAATTCTATCTTTTCCCCCCACCATCAGGTTATCCCTTCAACTGACTAGCTCACCATTACCTACTGCTATTTCTAAACTGGGTTCTGGCATTGTAATATCATAAGTGAATCAGGGTAGCAGACCCTGAGCTTACTCAGGACCTAAAGGACTAGAATAGAAAACCTAAAGGACTCAGAATAGAAAACAGACTCAGGCACTCGTCACTTATTTTGCATTTGGCTTATTTCCTGGTTCATGGCCCTGCCCCCCAGAATTGAGCATATCAGATAATGGGAATTGTTCCAACAGGCAACTAGGCTGAGAGTATGTTTAGCTCACCTGAAATAGAACACTGCTGTATTTTTCCCAGAGTGTTACCCAGAGTTGCTTAGTAATGCTGTCATATCTGCTTTCAAGATTGCATAATCTAAAGCCATTCATTTCTGCTTTTGAGGGGAGGATGCAGAAACTGCCTAATATCTTCCACCAGCATGAACATAATGGGGACTATTAAACTAATGAGATTGCCATAAAACTAATCACATTGCCGCTATGGTTGTGCAGAGAAAAAAACTGACTGCAGGAAATAAAAAACAAAGTCAATACAAGATCAACCACCTGCTGTTCTCTCATCTGACAACTCCACCGCCTTTTTCTTGTTGCTGGCCTGATTTTCCATGGCTGGCACACAAGCCAGCACAACTACTCAGCTCTCTGCAAGCTTTGAAGGATGTGGCCGTTAGCTTCTGCAAGTACCATTAGCCTTCATCTAAATCCACAGCACCTGACTGAAGGCACCAGAATGCCACGTATACAGAGCTGATAAGTGAGCCTCTGAGCATGAGAACCAACATGTGGACTGCTGGCTTTCCTGGTGGCTCAAAGAGTAAAGAATCTGCCTGCAATTCAGGAGAAACAGTTTCCATCCCGGAGCTGGGAAGATCCCCTGGTAGAAAAGGAAATGGCAATCCACTCCAACATTCTTGCCTGGAAAATCCCATGGACAGAGGAGCCTGGTGGGCTACAGTCCATGGGGTCGCAAAGAGTTGGACACAACTGGGCAGCTAACATTTTACTTTAAGCACTACCGGTGGGTGGAAGCCCCTGATATCCACTGTGAGGTCAGGCTAAGGATGTGAACCCCTCAGGAGGAATTTCTGCATATTCTCAGACCTCATCCTCTCCAAGGGCTTTGAATCGCTGAGATGATCCCTTGGGAACTCCCCTGCCCCCGGCCTGGGATCGGGGAACTTTTGCAGCAATGGGGAAAGCTCACACCTGGACACACCCCTCCTATAGCTACAAAATACAAAGAAACTATATGGGGCTAAAAATAACTGTGCACATATGCAGTTGGGGCAAATTCTAGACCAAAAGATACAAAAAAGACAAAAAGAACCAACTGCTATTTCTGAAGAGCTGGGACCTAAACCAAAGGTGTGGCAAAAACAGTGCCCCTGCTTGCCCCCCAACCTCCCTCACTTAATACCACAAAAGGATAGGCAAACCACCTAAACTACCCCTCCAGCCCGATCCCTGACCCACCACAACCCTCACCTCATATAAAGAATGAGCTTGCCCTCCTCAATTTGGAGAGAAGAGGAGAACCTCTTTACTTGTTTTCCCTCCTGCAACCAGTGCAGAAGCCCCAGTACAGCCTTCCCTGAATGTCTCGTGTGGCCTTGAGGAAATTTCTCTTGACTTGGGGAAGACCAAGAGCCCTGGTTGAGATCAAGGTGAGCTAGGGCAACAGAAAGGAGGAAAACCACAGAAAGGGTAGAAAACTCCACAATGGAGAGAAAGGAGATCCAAGAACGTGCATAAATATACATTTAGGGCTCAGCAAGGGAAGACAATCTAAATGAGAATACGCATCAACCGTGCACCCAAAAGGAAGAAGGGGAGACTTCTATCAACATTTTTCTTTAATGAATCATGTTTCCCTACATCTAAAAAATAATCTATCTTCTCAAATGGAATGCTCAGTGCTAAGAATTTATACAAGAGGCCATATGCTGTCTTTCCCAGCAACTAAACTGAGAACCATCTTTCCAA